TGATCAAACAATGATCATTTTGATGAGAATATATCTTTGAAACAACATACAAGTTGTCTTATTCCGATGTATCAATGAACTCGTTTCGAACGGATCATTTGCTTGAACAGAGCAACGAAATATGTAATATCAATGAAATATTTTGTTCATTCTACATCAAGTTACATTTTCGCCTCTAGATGGCGATCATTTCGCCTCGTCTATGCATGCCTCGAATTCATTATATACGTGAGGCCGAATTCTTCGTCTGAAATATCAGCTGATGGATAAATCGAACTTAGGATGATTAGCAATCCGAAATAGTTCTGCATCAGCTGAAGGGAAGTAAAGACTGGAGATCTATGCTAGAAGTCGACAATTTTCCTAGTTTAGTTTATTCTATTGATGTGGAATTTCAGAAAACTCCCGAATTAATTCTGAATTTGATTCACAAAACAATTTGTCGAATGAAAATACAATTTCTCTTGAATCAACGAAATATTTCATTGAATCAACAAAATATTTCTTTGAATCAACCAAATATTCCATTGAATCAACTAAATATTCGATTGAATCAATATCTTGTTATCTTGAATCAAACAAAATGATCCAGCCAATTCAATATCTGTTCATGAACAATTCCTGGATGTGCTTGATTGAATAAGATCCAGAGTTCATTCAATACAAATTTACTCAACTCAAACTTCAAATTCGCTCTGAAACAAGATATAGATTTACTCATTTCAAGATTATATTTTGTCGTGCATAATAATATATCACACTTTTATTTGCTTGATTCAACAATTCTTTTTTTTTCGTGATAATTAAAGATAAATCAAGTTACGTGGAGCACAACGAAATCATTATCAATACGATAAAAGCTTATATTCTGAATGGATATTTCAAATTTGGTACATCGACTTGATTTCATAAATGTATGATTTCGCTAGTATCAGACCAAACCGGACGTGTAATATTTCATATGACTCGATCGAAATTATACACTATATTATTCAAAAATGTTCATCAAATTTGAAACATCTATGCGAAATAAGGGGGTAAATTGGTTCCGGGTATATAGAAATAATAAAAAATCAGTACTTATACTTGATGAAGTTATGTTTCTTGTTCGAGAAGTTATCTAGTAGGTTACTGATGGTAATAATCCTTAGGCGAAGGGTAGGCTTATGAAGTTCAGATACAACTAAAGATGTATTATTTTCCCCATCCCTCGACTGACAAGTTGGTGAAATACAGTTTTGATGAAGGATGTGGGAATTTCCCAAGAGTGAATTCCGGACGAGTTTTCTCAAAGCCCCGGTTTAATTGGTCGGCGTAGTGTGGGGAAAAGTTTGTTTAATACGGTTTAATTCGGCCCCGGCCTAACTTAATATGATCCATTTGTTCCCGAATGAGAGGAAAGTTTGGGTTTTAGACGTTACTAGCAGACCTCGCAACGTTATTTTGCTATATTATACATTATTTCTTCAATATATTTTTTCTGCAACCGACACTAAAGTCGTCCATTTTGATACCAAAATTAGCTCTTAAATTGACGTTTCTATTACTGACACAAAAATAGGTATGTTGCTAGGCAACATATTTAGTTCCTAGGAGCTAAAGTTGAATTTTAGTTCCTAGGAGTTAAAGTTGAACTTTAGCTCCTAGGAACTAAAAAGGATCTACTGGACGTCATCAAGAATAAACAACATTGTGGCGGATGGTTATTTGGGTTGAGACGCATACCTGATTTGTTTCCGATTTCAGCAGATTTGACATTTCATACCCATGCTGGAGATATAAATACACCTTATTATAGTTTAGTATTGAAATTATAAACATCTCAGTTAAGTATTTTTGTTTTGATCAGGGAAGCCTTCAATACTTGCGTGATCTGTATTTCATTCGTTATTCTCGGGATGGATAACTTGTTTTTGAATGATCACGGCAAGCAATTGTTTTTTTGTCTCAAACAACGATATTGTTCAGCTTCATTTGATTATCAAGTCAAACACAGTGTAGTATGGAGAGGAATAAATAAACTCTATTATCATTGTTGATATGCTCACTAACCAAACATTTTCCACGTCTTGTTCCTATAGCTGGCACTGGCGCGATATTCGCCATTAGAGCACCTGGTCCATACAGAAATATGTCACTCTGGGGTTGTACTTATATTGAAACTACAATTCGAACATCTTAGAAAACGTGACCTGATGTTAATGCAGGTAGAATATTCTCACCACAAGGATTATTTGTCAATATTTGTTGCATTGCATACATATGGCACGGCATTGGTGGTTACTTCACATGTTTATTTGAGTTAATTGTTTCGGTTGCAGAAAAAATAGCATGTTTCATTCGGATCAAAAGTGACTTTGTTCGACTCGCAAATTTTGCTTTCGCTCGGCTTCGCTAAACGCTCCGCCTCGCAAATGCAAAATTCGCTTGTCAAACAAAGTGTGACTTTTGATCCTAATAAAACAATCTACTATTTTCAGTTGAATATTCATCAAGACACTATTATTACTTTATTCTCTACTTCTTTTCAGCTTCGCTATCTATAAAAGTGTGTTTCTTTTGTTTTTCAAACAACCATTTATATCAACTTCTCTTTAGTTCACTTGGGTTTCCAATTTTCACGGAAGGATCCTAATATCCGACTCCTAAAACCCCAGATGAAAATTTTGAATAGAATCGAAACATAATTACGAAACTCGCCCGCAATATTAGATCTACCATCTTGCATTCCCTAATTTTGACGAAGGAATCATAATTTTTCATCCCGAAAACGCACAATTACAAATTCTGAATTGAATCGGTATAAAACTCGTCCCCTCGGTACCAATTTTGAAAAGAATCGGATTATAATTACATAACTCGTCCGCCATATTGGTTTCACCATCTTGAATTACCGAATTGCGCCCAAATTTTCAAATTCTGACGAAAGAATCATAATCTCCGACCCTGAAAACCCCCAGATACCAATTTTGAATAGAATCGGACCATAATTACAAAACTCGTTCGATATATTAGATCCGCCATCTTGAATTTATCAACGATACCGGAATAAAAAGTATCATATAACCTTCTCCTGGTTCTAAGCTACCTCCCCACCAATTTTAAGCTAATCGATCCAGTAGTTTCGGAGCCTATTCAATACATACAAAGAAACAAACAAACAATCAAATCTTTCCTCTTTATCATATAATACAGGGTGGTCCGTTTCTTAACACGGAAAATTCAACAGCGCCTAGTACTCGTTGAAATAATAAAAAAACTTTCAATGAACATATACTTTTGAACGCATCGTTTTTGAGATATTCTTCTATATACCTTTATTTCACTTCTCCAAACTTTTGTCATTACAAATTGTCACTGACAAGCTAGTGAATTTTCCTTTTAGGCTCTCTGAGAGGAAAATTCTTTAAACGTAGTGATATTTTGGGGCAAATCATTTGATTTGTCCTTACTACACGTATTTTGAAATAATATTCATATTTTCATTTCATAGAAACGAGGAGAGAAATTCCCAAAAAATCTGAAATAATGAATGTACCACCTCCTCGATCAACCTACAGACAGGGAAAATATGATTCATTGTATCAATGATTTCCTTACAAAAACTCGAGACATACCTAATGGCATATAACCTATATTATGCCTACGTATATAGCCGATTATGTTTTGCGAGTGACATTTGGAGTCCTTATTATACCAACCACAAAGTTCGATTTCTCTCGAGATTTCTGAACTTCAGAGTGAACAATTCATTTGTTGTAGAAAGTATCAACCAAACCAGACGCTGTTTTGGACTTATAACCTTGGAGCAACGTAGAATTATGTCTGATTTATTATTCATCTATATAAAATAATGAGGAATCATTTTAGTTCTTCTATGTTGTTATCTCTCATATCATTCCATGTACCGTCTAGACCCAGAAGACTTGAAATATTTTTGAATGTTAATTTTTGTCATACCAATTCGGGACTGAACTCGCCAATGAGTAGAATGAGTGATAATTTTAATAAATATTGCAGCAACGTAGATATACAGTGTGTCCCACTTACCATGCTCACCATGGGTGTCTTTTTAACGGTGAGAGATACGAGGTCGGTTAAATGACACCAAATGTGGAGTTTGTCAAGGCCAACTATAATGTGAAAAAATATTTTGATAAAATCTAGTCGTTTTTGTTTTATACGCAAAAAACAGATTTTGATCATTTTCATGTCTCCTCCGTAACTTCTTTGTTTATGAGGATATTCAAATAGGAATTTCACATTCTCATGGCAGTTTTTCAAAGTAATTTCGAAAAAAATATGAAATTTATACCAACTCTTCTAGAATTTGGGATATCAGCACCAACTTTAGTTTTTCAAATGTAGGTCATAGCTCACTATGATGACTTAGTTACAAATAACTTTTTTTTTTCTTACAGATGATATGTCGCAGTGATAGTTTTGTGTTGATAACAACGGAGTTATCGTCATTTATACAAAAACAAAAAATTATTTGGAAGCCGCAATCTTGAATTTATAAATTTCAACAAAAAAATCATGATCTCAGACCTCAAAAACTCCCACTCACCAATTTTGAATGGAATCGGACCAAATCTTGTCCGCCATCTTGGAGCAGCCATTTTTTTTTATTTCAACAAAAATTCCATAATGTATTGTCAGAATTTCAAGTTAATCGGAGCACTTATTAGGAACCATATATTCGTCTGATTGATTATTGATTGATTGACAGAGTATTCTGTGTAACTAGTAGATGCAATTTTGGGCTTCTGCCTGTTTGTATCCCATTTCCATTGAATTAATAAATAAATAAATAAATAAAAACCTCCAGAAATTTAAGAACACCAATTCCTACCTTATTTCCCTCGGTTCTCACGATGTTCTCTGAACATTACAGGATATCTCTTCTCGTGGGAACCAGAACATTAAAAGAAAAAAAAAATTATCAAGAAATCACAGTGGAACAATGACTGAAAGAACTCTTCCCTTTAATTTTCCAGGAGGGTGACCGAGGATACCTCGAAGGTCTAGCCTCCCGCTATGCAGACCTCTTCAGCACCCACTACGTCGACGTGCTGGCCCACCTAGACGACCTGAGGAGGATCGAGTGGGTCGAAACGTCGGCAGCGGCGGACGAGCGGGCCGCCCCTTTGCCTGCCCCTGGGACGCCGCCTCAGCAGCTGCCCTCACGCAGGAGTCCCACGACGATGGGCGGAAATGGGGCAGCTGCTTCTTCGTCGTCGCATCAGGTCGTTTATGCCCCCGGGAAGTATTCGGTGAGTCGGAATAGCTCGTGAAATATCGGCACGGAATTACTTTGAACCCGAGAAATTGTTTCATTAAATGTATACAAAAAGCTCGGAGTCATATTTCAAATGTCAATTTTCAGAAAAATCATTCACTCCCCCCAGTAGCGAATTCATTCCAATTGAAGTCTCCACCCTGTATAACGAGTTATATAAAAACAAATGAATGTTTGATATTTGTATTCGTGTTTTGTGTTTCAAATTATATGTTGATGGTTGTAGGAAAAATAGTGTACATAACTCGTTGTAAAGTGAACTTAATGTATTCATTACATTTACACGTGCGAAATATGTTACTTTCCACACTAGTTACGTAATATGCTATTACAATATGTTTTTTTTTCAACTACGAAATAGTCACAATGCTCAAAGTGGAATGAAATGTTAAATAAATACAAAAAGTTCAAAGTCGTATCCACACAATGTTCATAAAATTTACATCTAAAAATGATGAAAAATAAAAACAAATTGAAGGAAGAAATAAATAAATATACAGGATGTTTCAGATTTAAATGTACAAATTATACCTGTAGATAGGGGACACTTCGGTGGTTCCAATTCACCACCCATTGATATGTCTACTGTCTTTTATAAGTGAGATACAGGACGTTATCTTGATTTTGGCAAAATCTTCATCTGGTTATAACTTTTGAACCACTTCGTATAATTCGTCCATACTTGGTAGACATATTTCACTTATATTACCCATCAAAACCAAATAAAAATCTGGATCAGAAACCAGGTCCGTCTTGAGGAAAAACAGAGAACTTCTTTTATCTCAAAAACAACACCTTGTATGGTAAAATTTTGTAGGTCTGTTTTGATATTTGGAAAGAGCGGGAAAAAATGAGATAAGTGACCTACTTTTTACGAGTGCGCATCTAATTTGACAGATGGTTTATTATCAAGTTTTGAAATATTCAGCTCCATTTCGAGTCATTTTTATTGAACTTATAATTCAAAATTCAATTTTGATACAAAAAAATAACAGTCTTCAAAGTTCAACATCATTAGGGGCAAATTAGGTGAACTATCGATAGATTTGTTGTGACAGAATCACTTGTCTATGGTATCATACATTTTTGAGGGCTCATTTTATTCTCCACTATTAATTCACGAGCTGCGGTTAATAGGCTGTGCAAAAAAATCCGATATTCTGACAGGTCATAATCACTAGTGTGATGTTATTGGTAATGTTGGGATAATTATTTCTGGTGCTTGTATTGGGTTGTTACATTTCAAAGTGTTCATAATTGTGACTACAATAACTTTACCAATATACTTTACCGCAGCTTATGAATAAATAGTGAAGTATAAAATGAGTCCTCGAAAGTTTTTGAAATCATCGACAAATTATCCCGTCAAACAAACAAATTTATCGATAGTTCACCTAATTTGACTCAAATGATGTTGAACTTTGGAGACTGTTATTTTTCTGTATAAAAATTGGGTTTTAAATTATGAGTTCAATAAAAATGCCTCGAAATGGAGCTGAATATTTCAAAACATGATAATAAACCATCTTTCAAATTGGATGCGCACTCGTAAAAAGTAGGTCACTTCATTCATCTTTTTCCGCTCTTTCCAAATATCAAAACCGATCATTAAAATGTTGCCATACAGAGTGTTGTTTTTGAGATAAAAGGAGTTTTCTGTTTTTCCTCAAGACGGACCTGGATGCTGATCCGGATTTTCATTTGGTTTCGATGGGTGATATGAGTGAAATATTTCTACCAAGTATGGATAGATTATACAAAGTGGTTCAGAAGTTATAACCAGATGAAGATTTTGCCAATATCAAGATAACGTCCTGTATCTCAGTTATCAAAGACGGTAGACATATCGATGGGGGGTGATTTGGAACCACCGAAGTGTCCTCTATCTACAGGTATCGTATGTACATTTAAGTCTGAAACACCCTGTATAGATATCAGCTTTGAGCTATTTAAGCAGCTATTTGAATGAGTGTCCTTCATTCCTCAAACATACCGGGTGGAATAAATAAATTCATCCATCTTGATTGAGATTATCAAGTTGGATTCAACATAAAAACGATGGTCTACAATTCATGAAACCATAAAATTTTATAGATGATTCGCATCTTAATTATCGATAAATTAGCTACAATATTGATTAAAACAGTTCATTATAGCTGTCCCTCTGCTCATCAAGTGCTTATACAAAGTATTCAATTATATTAGAAGACTTTCATTATCCCAGTCGTATAAATACCTGACGTAACGTAACTTTGGAAATTCCCATTGAATGTAATGCCGCTCAGCAATTGAGCTCAGATTAACTGCACTGAAGGCACTCAATCTTGATGTTTTACTACCGACTTTTATTTTATGTCCGCGTAATTTTCATTAATCGCAATTTAGATGAGTGTCAAGTAGTGCATACATTACGAAAGTGGATTTAATTATGAGCTTTTACTATCCTGAACGAGAAGAAGACAAGAAAATTTTCCGTTATTCCATCTCTTTTTATAGGACTACTAATTCTGATATAGGAGCTTCAACGAAATTTGATTGAATTCTACCGTGAACAACGTGATTATAGTAGATTGTTTCATTAGGATCAAGATTGACACTTTGTTTGACAAGCGAATTTTGCTCTTGAGAGACGGAGCGTTTAGCGAAGCCAAGCGAATGCAAAATTCACGAGTCAAACAAAGTCACTGTTGATCCGAATGGATCATGCTATTTTTTCTGCAACCGAAACAATAAACTCAAATAAATATGTGAAGTTACCACCTATGCCGTGCCATATGTATGCAAAATCCGTGTGGTGAGAATATTCTACCTGCATTAACAGCAGGTTTATTCAATTTTCAAGGATGTTCGAATTGCAGATTCGATATAAATACAACCACAGAGTGACATATTTGTGTATGGACCAGGTGATCTAATGGCAAATACCGCGCTAGTGCTAGGTATAAGAACAAGACGTGGAAAATGTTAGGTTAGTGAGCATATCAGCAATAATAATAGCGATTATTTATTCCTCTCCATATTACACTGTGTTTTGACTTGATAATCAAATAGAGGTAAACAATATCGTTGTTTGAGACAAAAAACTATTGCTTGCCGTGATTATTCAAAAACAAGTTATCCATCCCGAGAATAACGAATTGATTACAGATCAAGCAAGTATGTGAATCTTGAAGGCTTCCCTGATCAAAACAAAAATACTCAACTGAGATGTGTGTAATTCCTATACTCAACTATAATAAGGTGTATTTATATCTCCACCATGGGTATGAAATGCCAAATCTGCCGAAATCGGTAACAAATCAGGTATGCGTCTCAACCCGAATAACCAACCGTTACAATGTTATTTATTCTTGATGACGTCCAGTACATCCTTTCTAGTTTCTAGGAGCTAAAGTTCAACTTTAGCTCCTAGGAACTAAAGTTCAACTTTAGCTCCTAGGAACTAAATATGTTGCCTAGCAACATACCTATTTTTGTGTCAGTGATAGAAACGTCAATTAGAGAGCTAATTTTGCTCGTGCGAAATATGTAACTTTCCACACTAGCTATGTGATATACCATTACAATATGTTTTTTTTTGTTAAAGCCTTCGAGTTGCTTGAGCGACAAAGAAGAAGACGAAATCTACGGCTTCGGATACGGCGTGTTTGCCGCCCAAATCGCCAGGCAACAACAACAGAGGTTGTTGGGCCAACAACAACAACAGGCGACGAGCCATCAACCTCTTCTGCTGCAGCAACAACACCACAACTATCAAACGTAAGTCGATTATTATTGGCAAATAATTTTTGATATCACAGTTGAAATACGGAAATAGCTATTTGTGTATTTAGAGCGCAAAGTGATAGATTGCCGCTCGACAAAGAAACTTAATCTTTGGAGAGCGGCAATAACACTTTGTGCTCGAAATACACACAAGATTTTTTCTACTAACGCTGCTTTTGGAAATAACTACCCTGAAAGTATGAGCGATTGAAATAGTTGAGAAAGTTCTTATCCATATTATCCCATATGTCCAAAGGAAACAAAAAAAGAAAAATCGAAATAACTGACAAGCCAGAAAAAAATGTCGGGCCTACCGAGAATCGAAACTGGATCACCAGCGTGGCAACCTGAGCTTCAGACCTCTGAGCCATAGTACGATAAGCTCTGCAATCAAATTGAACATTACTCATTGATGCGATAAAATAAAGATACACTGTCTTTCTGAAGACAACAAAGAGTTCAAATATAAAGTATAATTCATCGTTTTCAACAGATATGCTTCATCGGGAGCTTCTTGTAGAAATTTGTTATTGGTATATATCTTCAGCGGTGAATGTTTTGGATTTTTCTCGCTTTATATCCAATAGATTGTTTCTTGAAAAATGCAATAAGTTTCAGATACTTATTGATTCCGATATTATCTTTAACATTGAAGCATATATACGTACCATCGAATATATAGACCAATGAGTTGATGACTTCAAAGTCTTTGATTTTTTACCAAAATAAGCCAGTAAAACGTTTTCTGGATACATATTCATCATCTCGGAGTGACACCAATTTATGAATGTATCATATTGTAATTCATATTTCTTCTTTGATTTCTCCGGTAAGAGATTCAAACTATTGCGCTTTCTGCTATATCATCAGGAAGGAGGTGTGTTTGATGATTCACTGTCACTATTTTCCATCATGAGAGAATTGGGGGTTACAGAGATGTGCGAGCGTTTTTTCAATACTTCCGCTCACGAGCGCAAATGCTGTCAAAGAATGACATTTCTGGGAAAACGTCAACATTGTGCTGGAATTTGAAAGCGTCAAAGGCTACTTTGTTAAGCGTTTGTAGAAAAATGTGTTTATTGGGTGTTTTCTGATTACTTGAAGAAAATTCCAGGAGCGATTCCTCTTGACATTCTTGAAAAAATGCTGAAGAAAAGTAGGTGAATTTGTCTAGTTCATGGTCAGTAAGTACATAAAACTTCAAAAATGGTCATGGACTCTTCGAGATTTTGAGAGAAGGAAAATATGTTGTCACTTCTGTCGTGAAATATTGTGTTTCTTGAAACTATGGTGAAATTTTTGAAATGTTCATTAATCCTTGCTATAAAATGATATACTTACATTGTGGTCTGGAAGCTTGAAATTAGGCATAATCAACTATTGAATACCTTGTGGTCTTCATAAACATTGAAACTACTATACAGGGTGGGCCACCAGTAACGCCTCGGTCTCTAGAAGGCTAACCACTTATCTTCTTGGAATTCTTCCTCTCTAGGAAGTCGCATGTCAACATAGGCTACCATTTAAAATTATTTCGAAACATACAGGGTGTCCCCAAAAACCATAAAACACTGAAATAAACTTTTTTCTATCGAACACCCTATGTATTATTTCATTTTGAGATTCTCCCTGATGAGCTGATTTCAACGACCCATCATACTTGGGGTCTAGCAGTTATGATTACTGAAATATAGGGTGTGAAAAATCGAGATTTTCCAAGTTCAAGAATTTTTTGTGTCGAAACTATTCATAATTGGTCAAAACGGCTCACATGTCCCTATCTCAAATTTTGATCAACTATCTACTGATATTTAATTGGGACATATACCGGGTGATCAAGATTCTGAATTCTGCACCACCCTGTATTTGTTTCAATTAAATGTCAGTAGATAGTTGAGATAGGGCCATGTGAGCCGTTTTGACCAATTATGAATGGTTTAGACACAAAAAATTCTTGAAGTTGGAAAATCTCGATTTCTCACACCCTATATCTCAGTAATTATAACTGCTAGACCCCAAGTATGATGGATTGTTGAAATCAGCTCACCAGGGAGAATCTCAAAATGAAATAAAATATAGGGTGTTCGATTGAAATAAGTTCAACTTCAGTGTTTTGTGATTTTTGGGGACACCCTGTATGTTTCGAAATAATTTTAAATGGTAGCCTATGTTGACATGCAACTTCCTAGAGAGGAAGAATTCCAAGAAGATAAGTGGTTTACCTTCTAGAGACCGAGGCGTTACTGGTGGCCCGCACCCTGTATTTGGAGAGAACATACAGGGTTGGATTTCGAAAACTTCCCACCCTTAATATCTTCATTTCAGTGAATGATATGAAAAATCGAAAAGACACATTGATTTCATTTCTAAGGGAGACACCTGAAATGCATATATTTTGAGCCTTCTAATTTCAACCCCCAATTTTTACAATTCACACTATCAAAGTAACATATTCACCAATAATCATGGTGGAGTATTGGCAAAAAATGTTGCTCTATTTGTTACTAACTCTGATTATACACCAACACCCTGTATATACCTCTCCTCTTCCTGTGTGCACTATAACCGTGTTATTTCATTCCGCATTTCCCGATTCCATTCCCATCGATTCGCACCGAATTCACAGCAATTCCGGAACAAGATTATCCAGTGAAACTTTCGAAATTCGATTCCGCGTTAGAAAACTTCGACACACAGCTATATTCTCTGCCATCTCCTACGAATTAGATTTCCATTTGATTCTGGTCGCAGACGAGAACTTCCTTGGCTATGGTGTCAGTTTCAATATGGTGTCTGGTATACCCTGTGTCCCATCTGGTACTCGTCCAACCCACAGAACTGAAACACAGAGGAGAAGGGAATAACAAATCCCAGTCGTGTTGCTAATAGGAGATCAAATATGGCGGAGATAGCCCCTTGACATGTCTGCGCATTGACTCGTGCTCAGAGACGGCGTCATTTTAATTGTTGCTCCACAGCAGTTGTTAAAAATCTGAATTTGCTTCAACCCAAGTTATCGGAATGGAAATACAATCACAGTTTTTTTTCTGAATAAAGAAAATTGAATCATAATTATAACACAATATTCCTACATTCGTTATCAACTTTTTTTCATTTAAAAAAGAGTAGGTGTCAACTCAAATAGTCAAATATCAACTTGATATGAATTTTATTTTGATTATTAACATTGATACCAGTTCATACATTACATTGTATTGTACAGACCCAAATGACCAAAGTTTCATGATTCATCAAGATTTATCTATTTCAATACTCCTCTGTGTTTTAGTTCTGTGGTCAAACCTCGTCAATCTTTGTACAGGGTGCGCTTCTTAAAATGGAACCTCCCCTCAAGTCTTTTTTTTTTCCGAGATATAAAAAAATTTTGAATGTAGACATTTTTTGAATTGAAATGACCCAAACTTTCATTTCGTGAAATTGGTTAATTCACAGGGTCATTAGTTTTTCCGGAAAGGACATGAAGTTTGATTGTTTCAATGGAACACCCTATATATTTTCCAACATGTCGATAGAGCTTCGTTTTTCTGATCTCAAAAATATATACAGAGAAGTGCACAAAAAACGGCCAGGACTGTAACTTTTGAATTATTCGAGATTGGGTTTTGAAAATTGGTGGGCAGCTAGTGATTGATCAATTGACGAAACAATTTTTTTCTCCGATTGGCAGCAAATACTAATTTTGCTGACACATATCAATCAGCAAAGTATTACTTTTCCTGCCTAGGCAGCAAAATGGGTACTTTGCTGCCTAGGCAGCAAAGTGGTTACTTTGCTGATTGATATGATTGTATCAGCAAAATTAATAATCCATAAATCGTTTATAATTTCCTTCATATTTCATCCGAGACTTCTCCGGCAACAAATTCAACTTTATATTTTTTGCCACCTCCCTCATTTCTGGAGGTGTAAGTACTTCCAGGTCGCTATCACTGTTCATTATATAATAATTTAAATAATCCGATATCTTTTCGCACAACTGTCAGAAATTTCATGAATTGTCAAACTATAATTATTATGGACATTTTATAGCAACCAACCATTCCAACAACTGCGATTTCTATCAAATTTTATTTTAATTGAACATTACAGGAAAAATAAAGAGATATATACCATTATGAACAATCGGAGAAAAAATTATATGTTCAACTCGGCAGCAAAGTAGATTGACTGCCTTAGCTGGATTCCTAGCCTCGCTATGCTCGGCTATGAATTCAGCCTCGGCAGTCAATCTACTACTCTGCTGCCTAGTTAAACAAATAACTATTATTAGTTTCATTCGATAATATACATCAAGCTTTTTTGGTTTTGAAATTTTTGTTTTTATTTCAATGTCTTCCTGTATCTGTTCTCACCCTATAGGTCATTCATAGGTTTACAATATACTACTATTCATCATTCTCAATTTCAACGAAGAGATATTACATTTTCATCCTTTTCGAACAAATTAGTCAATAAACTAAATTTATTCATGAACCTGTATGCAAATCAAATGAAAAAATGAATTCTAATATTATTTTATTTCCAAACACAATCTGGTGTGGAATTTTCTCACCGAATACCACACGAGGTCAAATTACTTTTTCGACTCGGAATAATTTTCAGAATATCCATGAGCTCGAAAAAATTTCCGGAAATAATTTGACATCTAGTGGTATCACAAGTGGAAATTAATACATCATATAACTCAAATAGTCTCCAAAGTGCAAGATTCGAAGATGACTGAGCCAGCTTCCTCCTATTTTATTCTTGTTCGAACTGTACTGACTTTGATTACCAATGTATCTCATGAAACAATATCAATGCACGCGTTATCGATCAGATTAACAATAATTGAATCAGCATAACGTTATAGCGATATATCCTCGATATCCCGCACAAGACGTACTCTTCACGTATCTGCATCTAGGTGGCGCTGTATAAGCTCTTATTCCTCCGTGGCAGGGCATCCGCAATTATTCCAAAATTCATTATCG